ATTTAGGCATTAGTCTCTCTCATTGCTCCACTTCGCTACCATAATGATTATCGGCCTTTTTTCACCATCCATGATTCTGAATTCAAGGAATACTCGTCAAAGAGTCGAGCACCGTAAGCTTTATGTCACATAAATTTAATTTCTGTTTTTTCCTATTACATCAGTTTTACTAAAATAGAGCAGTTCTATGTTATAAGGCCTGCGCCAGTTCAATCCATGGTGTGTGAATATCAGATAGCAACAACGAAAAATGTCAAGCAGATATCTGCAATGACAATTTTCTTGTCAGGAAATCCGTTTTGGAGATTCCGCCGGTCTTGTATAGAAGACCATATTAGAAATGGCAGAGAGCCTACTCTCTCTTCTTTAATGTGAACGATACTTCCATGGATTGTTAAGATAGATTTAAACAAATAATGGTATCGGAGAAAAAAAAACTTGTAATTAGGGTGGTCGAAAAGAGATAGCTTCATGTGAAAGCCAGGCAACTTGCTTCACATCGAGTGACCCAATATATGTTGCTCCTAATTTGTCGGATCACGGCGCGCTCTCAGGCTTCCCCTTAGTACACGTTTTATCACTCGGAGACTTATTCAAGTAGGTGATGGTTGCAGTTTGAATTTCTTCCGTAAAATCACACTATAGTCATAGCAGGTCGCTGTTATGTATGTTGTGTTGTGTCGTCCTCTATATCGTCATATAATTCCATTGCTCGATCTTCGATTTTAGACGCTCAGTCCCTTAGTCTCCTAGATCATAATAAATATAGTATAATATTTGATGAATTTACTTATGTCCTCCTCCCCCTCCTTAACACCCCTGTAGCGGGAAGCATGTTTTGCTTCTATCTATTAGCTCACCTGTGTGAGTTCACGGCCTCGTCATGAGAAGCCTCTTCATTGGTGGGCAACAACGACCATTTGCAATTATTTTGTTTAAAAATGCAAGTGCTTGAAGTGGAATGCTACCTGCGCCAGTCTGATGTTGACTTGATATGGTTACCCCAGTTTCAAATTTCTAGCACTTCATTCATCTGAAGTAAAATCTCTTTTGCTTTGGCATATTTAGCTTTTAGATATTGTTTTTTTTTATCTAACAGGTAGCTAAAGAAAATCGTATGTTCTATCTCCCTCATGCACATGAATCTTTTTCAGTCCTCGAGTGATACTGGGGGTAACAAATCCATTTTTTATCAAAGCACTTGATCATTGGCCTCATATTCTCAAAGTTGGCGACACCGTTGAAGGTAGTGATACTCCAGAACGTGAGGAGAAGAGGAGGTTAGCGCTTGTAAAGTTTTTGTTGATTTTTTCCAATGTTTATATGTCAGGAAAAACTGGGATGGGCGAACACTTGACACTAAGCCAGGTATATACACGCAGTACAAAGCGTATCTGAATAAGGACAAAAGTGTTGCTAAAAAGTTGCTAAAAGGAGATCGACCTTCTGAGGTAATGCATTTGATTTTTGAACTTCTTTGAAGTTACTACTCCAACTGATATATAGGTCCAATGCAATATATTGCGAAGACATTTTCTCGAATTGACGCAGAGCTTCATGATTCCTCTCGAACGATATTTATCGTCGTTAATGCCGCTTCGTAAGGAAATGTCGC